CTTAGCTGAGCCCCTTCCCAGGCTGAGCAGTGGTCCCCACGGCCCAGGGCTCTGTCCTGCTCTTCTCTCACCAGCACTGGCCTCCTAGGTCTAAGGCAGCAAATGACCACGGTCTGGGAGGCTGGACACAGGGCTTGGTTCTGTCGGAGTTCTGGAGATCAGAAGTCCAAACTCCAGGTGTCGGCCAGGCTGTGCTCCCTCAGACGGCACGAGGCGGGGAGGGTCTGTCTGGGGCCTTTCTCAGCTCCTGGTGTGGCAGCATCATGACCTGCCTTGGCTGGTAGCTGCATCACTCCTCTGCTGTCGCCTGGCGTTCTCCTTCTTCATGTGGCCTTCTTACACACACAACAGTCCTTGGATCAGGTCCATTCTAACCCAACATTACTTCATCTAAAGGTGGTTATACTACAAAACTGTTGTCAAAGGAGGTCACATCCATGGGTACCAGGGTTAGGACTTGAACCTATTTTTTGGAAGACACATTTCAACCTATGGCCAACGCTCACACACACACCCGCCCCAGGCACCGTCTCAGACAAAGGCCAACCTCCCAGAGCAGGGTCCTGAGTCCGGCTCTCCCCATGGGGACAGGGACAAAGTCTGTGCGGTGGGACGCAGTGTCAGACATCCCTGTGTGGGCGGCAAGCAGGGGACGGAGCTATTCCAACTGCCACACCCAGAGCTGGAGCCCGGGACACGGTCCTCAGGGGATGAGGGCATTATGGCAGTATGTGTATAGGGCAGCAGCAGTCTCAGGCACGCTGGCCCCAGCAGCTCCGCCTGAGTCACCAACCTGTGCTCTTTCCCTCCTGTCCTCCCAACCCCCTAGCACAAAAGGCCCTGGGTCGCCCCTGTGAGGCAGGGGCTGGGACTTTAGAGGGAGAGCCCCAGCCTCACGTCACAAATGACAGGGCCAAGATCAGCCTCCAGGTGACCTCCCAAACCTCGAGGGCTGGGGGTGGGAGGGGTGCTCCTCAGGGGTTTCTTCTTCCATGACAAGGAGCCTCCGTTTAGCATGAGGTTTCTCAGTCTCGGCATTACTGACGTTTGGGGCCAGGTAGCTCTTGGTGGCGGGGCATCCTGTGTACTGTAGGATATTTAGCCGCTTCCCCAGCCTCCACATCCTCCATGCCAGGAGCATTCCTTCCCTACCGGCAACCAGAATGTCTTCAGACGTTGCCAAATGTCCTGTGTTTAGCGGAATCAGGACCGGTGTCTGTGAGTCTCCAGGACTCCGAGTCATGAGGCAGAGGCTGCCCAGCTCCAGGCATTCCACCCGCCTTCAGAGAGAAGGAACACGACGGGCTAATCCAGGGGATTTCCACTCAGGTCTCACTTCACTTACCTCTGTGGTCCCACCGGCCCACCCTCAAGTGGGGAGACAAGGCCGCCTCGAAGGCTGTGGGCAGGACAAGCTGGGATCTCGGATTGGCCTGTTACTGCCTTTGGTGGCCCCGGGGAAGCCACTCTGAGCTTAAAACTGGGCTAATACCCTGTTTCCCTGAAAATAAGACAGTGTCTTATAATTTTTTCTCCCAAAGTTGCGCTAGGTCTTATTTTCAGGGATGTCTTATCTTTCCATGCGCTAGGTCTTATTTTCGGAGGATGTCTTATTTTCGGGGAAACATGGTAGTACCACCGACGACAAGGGCTGTTTTGCAATTAAACCACCTAATCTAAGTACGTAACCCAGTCAAGGACCTGGCCCACATCGCGCACTCCACAGCAACTGGCCTTCATTACTATTAGTGGTGAGAATTAACCACATGCAAGTGGCCAGCACTCAAAAATATCTGGTAAATGTTGGTGGCTGTATCTCCCACCTCTGAGCCTTCACCTTTTCTGTTCCCTCTACTCTCATGTCTCTGGTTCTCACCAATTCCCAGGGGCCTTTTACCCTCTTCCTTGGTCCCTGCAGGAAGCAGGGAGGCACTTTTTTTTTTTTTTTTTTTTTTTTTTTAATATTTTATTGCTTTTTTACAGAGAGGAAGGGAGAGGGATAGAGAATTAGAAACCTCAATGAGAGAGAAACATCAAACCAGGGCACATGCCCTTGACCGGAATCGAATCTGGGACCCCTCGGTCCCCAGGCCGACGCTCTATCCACTGAGCCAAGCCGGCTTTGGCGAGGCACGTTTGTTTCCTGCGCAGTATCCTTGGGCCCAGGACCTGCCTGGCCTGCCGGCTGATGGTGGCCCATTACATTGGTATGAATTGGGTAAATAAATGACTCAGGTCGAGATTGGTGACACTTTGGGCCAAACGTGGGGCTACCGGACAGAGAGGTTGACGATGCCGAAACGTAAGGGATCAGGGGATGAATGAGTTAATGAACCCGTACCTGGGCATCCGCTGCCCCCACCGCCACCCCTACCCCAGCCACTTCCGGGCGGGGCAGGAGGCGAGGTGCCCGCGGGGAGCCCACCCGCCCGGAGCTGGACCAACATCGCGCCCGAGCCCCGTGCTTCCCGCGTTCGGACCCTGTGGCCCGGCACTGGGCGGCCGCCCGGGGCTGGGACCTTGGCGGACCCGTCCGGACCCGGCGCCAACACGTGCTCCACCGACGCCGGGCGCCGAAGCCGCGAACCCCGCGGGAGCACCGCCCGCCTGGCTGGGGGGCGGGAAGGGAAGAGGGTGGGGCCGGCGCGGGGGGCGCTGGGACTTGTAGTTCCGGTGTCGCCGCCGCCCGCACCCACCGCCCGCCCAGGAGCATACGGAGGGCGCCGCGGATCCTGCCCCAGCTCTTCCTGGCCAAGGCCATCAGAACCTGTTTGTCACAAAAGGGGAAACTGAGGCCCAGCGACAGAACCCAGCCTGCAAAAGATCACGTGGTCGAGCCGTGGCCGCCTTCCCTGGTGCAACAAGTGTAGGTCACACTTTATTTTATTTTTAAAAGTTCTTAGTTTATTAACCTTCTCATGAAAAATCTGCACAGTCGCCACAGATAAAGTCACTGAAGAATCTTTACTCCTTTTTTCTTTTTTTCTTTTGCTCCATCCTTGGCTTTGCAGACCCCCTGACTTTCTTCATTCTGTTCTTGCTTTCCTGTCTCAGTTTCTTGAGTCTTTCCATACAGGCCATGTCTTGTGAGTCCATGTTTGGGTTCATTTTTCTTTTCCTAACCCAAGGAATCATAAAGCCAGTTTGTCTTGCCACCACTGAAATGCATTCCTTATCCAAATGCAAATACAGCTTCGATGTGGTCTTACACTGCATTTAGGCTAGTTTCCCTGAATTTCTGTCTCAGATACTGTCCTGTTACCTCCCAGAGTGAAGGGCGTCATTGGCCATTTATTTTCCCGAAGTCGCCTGGTGTTCATGAACTTTCTGGACCGGATAGTTACTGTGTCGCTCGGGGATGGTGGCTGATCTTCTAGCAGCCAGGGAGGAAAAGTGCTAGTCACACTCTAATCAAAGTTTTCAAAAATGGTGGTTGGAGGGTCCCTTTCCTAGCTGAGAGCTCCCCTCGCCTCCCTCGTTCCATTGTGCATTCACTCACCTATTTCCCGAGCCCTCAGCTTGCCAGGTGTGTGGCAAAGGCCTGGAGGCAGTGTTGTGCCCAGCGAGTTGGAGGGACAGTGAGTGACAAGAGAAGGGGGAAATGAGATGACACACAAACATGTGTTCCCTGTAGGCTCTTTGAAGACTTAGGGCTCCATACCCAGTGTAAGGCGCTGAGGGCCAGGGCTGGGGAAGGAGGGATCAGACTTCAGTGGCTACTGGTGGATATCTGAATAACTAGTAAACATTTCGCCTGCATCCCTCCCTCTTCAGCCCACCTGGTGTCACTAGTGTTCCCCCAAACCCCAGCCTGTGTCCCACTGTCCAGAGAGAAGTCCATGGGTTGGGGCCAGGAGTGACTCCACTTAGAGTTCCAGTTCCCAACTGCACAGGGGTCACAATGGTGCCTGGACATGCAGAAGGTCTGAGGCCCCAGAGCTGGCCCCCATCATGGTGTGATCCAGCTTTGAGGGCATGACCTGCACAGTCCCATGGCTGGATGCTCAGAAAGGCCCCACACTTGGTTAAGTGCTCTCCTATCAAATGTGAATTTCCTAATAACTTTGAACTCTGGAAATTCTGTAGCTGACCTGCTAGGTGTGGCATGGAGAGGGTGAAAATGGGCCTGTTTCTGTGGTTGGAGACAGGAGCAAAGGGAAGGTGGACAGCCTCTGCTTGTCTCCTCCCAGGGTGGAGGAAGGAGGAATCGCAGACAGTAGCTTCTGAAGAGCCCACAACTACCTCCCTGCCCCATCAACTCCTCTGGAGGCCCCCCCCCCCGCCCCCCTGGACCCCCCCCCCAAGACCGCAGCAACCTGATTTCTTTCTTTCCGGATTATATATTGCATATTTTTACTTGTTGAATTGTCTTATTCATAGACGCTCCGTGGGGCTAGAGTGTATTTTGTGCATCCCTGCAGCCCCCATGTCCTGATTAATATTCGTCAAATGAATTATATCTATAGATTTTAAAAATAATCATTTCACCTTTAGCATATGTCGCTGTAGTCTAGTAGCCATGGGCTAAATATTGGCTCAGTAAACATCTAATAAATGCCCGTGTCTGATTCATTAGATTCTGCGTTCCACGAGGGCCGCGGCCTGGAACTGCGCAGGCACGTAGTAGGACCTCCGGAGACGTCCGGATGCGGGGGCTCAGGCAGCAGACCTCACCCCAAGCCTTCCCCACGCGCTCAGGGCGCGGCGGGGCGGGGCCCGGACTACGCTTCCCGGCGGGCCCCGCGCGCCAGGGGCCGGACGGGGGCGGGCCCGGGGCCGCCTGGGGGCGGGGCCGGCTACAAAGCCCGGGGGCGGGCGCCGGGGCGCAGAGTGCCCGTAGCGCCGGCCGGAGCGCGGCGCAGCCTAGCGCGGCGCGCACGGCGGGAGCGGCCCTCGAGCGGACCGGCCCGGAGGCGCCCCTGCCGCCCAGCTCGCGCGCCGCCGCCGCCCATGCGCGCACCCCCGCGCGGCCGGGGTCCGTAGGCCGCAGGGCGCCCCCCATGCTGCTGCAGCCCGCGCCGTGCGCCCCGAGCGCGGGCTTCCCGCGGCCGCCGGCCGCCCCCGGCGCCATGCACGGCTCGCAGAAGGACACCACGTTCACCAAGATCTTCGTGGGCGGCCTGCCCTACCACACCACCGACGCCTCGCTCAGGAAGTACTTCGAGGGCTTCGGGGACATCGAGGAGGCCGTGGTCATCACCGACCGCCAGACGGGCAAGTCCCGCGGCTACGGCTTCGTAAGTGGCCCCGCGGCCGGCCGGACGCGCCCTCCAGCCCGCACTTCCCTGGGCCCGGGGCGCCGAGGCCACCGGCCTCCCCGCGGCCGCCCGGGCGCCGAGGCCGGCGCCGCACCTGCTGCCCCCTCTCGGGCTCCGGGGCGGCGGTTCACGCTCCAGCCGGTTCCGCCCCCACTCCCCGCGGCTGGGTCTTCCTGCCCCCACCCACCCCCGGCTTAAAAGGGGGACCCGCTGTGTTCACTGAGAACTTCCGAGTGTGTGGCGAGGTTGGGGGGTCAGACGACCGTTCTCGGGACTTTCTGGAGCAGCTAGGCTGGGAGGAGCGGAGCCTGCGCCCCTGGGCGCCTTGAACCCGTTAGCGCCCCTCCCCCCATCTTTTCCAGCAGTCCCCTCTGCCGCCCCTAATATCACCCTAAGTGAACAGCGGTCTGAAAACAGCCTCGTCCTTTCTAAAGACAGACCCCTCCCCTGAGGAAATTTAGAGGCCCTGCCTCTGGGGAAGAGGGTGCCCGACTGCTCTGGGGAGAGTTTCTTTCCCTGAAGGCAAAGCTTCCCTGACACTTGAACTTGAAGGGAGGAGCTGGAATCCAGGGGGCATCTTTGTGGGAGGGCCCCCGGTGTGGTGGGGTCACAGGGGTGGGGGGTGGAGCCCACTGCCCTGCACCCTACCAGGGAAGCCTCTGATGCGTTTGTTCCTCTAGGTGACTATGGCCGACCGGGCAGCGGCTGAGAGGGCTTGCAAGGACCCTAACCCCAACATCGACGGCCGCAAGGCCAACGTGAACCTGGCCTATCTGGGCGCCAAGCCAAGGAGCCTCCATTCTGGTGAGAGGCTGTTTCCCTTCCCAGGCTTTTGTCAGTTGCTATATTCAGCAAGGTGTCTGTCTAGTGCCTTCCCCTGCCCTGCCCTGCCTGCCCCAGGAGTGGCAGTTGTTGTCATGTGCTTGCAGAACCACCACAGGACAGTCACCCCTAGCTTGGGAGCTGGGCCCCTGCATCTAGCTGGCCTAGCTGTGTGCTCGTAGAACAGGGTGAGGAGGGTGTCATAGGAAGTTGGTCTCTGGGGCCTGAGGTAGAAGGACCACAGCCTAGAGGCTGCTGCCCCCCAGGTCCCTTGACCTGCTTAGCTGGGAGCTCTGGGGTTCGCGTGGGGGTAGCCTGGGAGAGGCAGGGAAGTGGATTATCCTTTGTGGTTGGGCTTGTATAGCTGGGGTGTTCTGCCTCCCCCGCGAGGCCCAGCCCCTGACTGGTCTCTTTGTAGGTTTTGCCATCGGAGTACAGCAGCTGCACCCCACCTTGATCCAGCGGACCTATGGGTGAGTGGAGCGGCTGGCTGGAGACAGGGTGGGGGTTTCCTGGTCTCCCAGTGAGGGTGCCCCTTTCATCCTAGGCCTGCCCACCCCATGGCCTTGGTTGTGCCATTAGTCCCTTTCTGTGCCTAGAGAACCATCGGTCTTCTGCTCCACCTTTTCAGAAACGTGATTGTGTTTTGGGGCTGGGAGAAGGTGGGGACCAGCCGGGAGAATTGAAGGAAGATAGGTTTCGTTTCTCCACCCTGGCAGAGGCCACGCCTCAGAGAGTGGGGAGCAGGGGCTGGAGCCTGCAGCCTGGGTTCAAATCCCGGCTTCTCCCTTACGATCGGTCTGGTCTCTGCCTGTTTGCTCACCTGCCAGCGGGGCGGTGGCACACCTCTGATTGCTGAGAGTGCCGGGGTTAGGATGGTGTGACTTGGGGAGGTGAGGAACTGGCGAGCTGGGCTCTTCTCAGGAGCCCCTCTGACCGCCAGTGTCCAACAGATGGTGGCAGCAGGTCCCTGCCAGCTGGGGCCGACGTTTGTGAAGCTGGAGCAGGTGAGCCAGGATCGGGGCCAGATGTCCGGGCCCAGCCAGGCTGGCCTACGGGCCTTTTGTCTGACATGCTCTGGAGCAGCGTGTCCCGCCCTCCTCTGTCCAAAACAGCCCCCCTCCCCCTGGCTTTTTTTCTTAGAACATATAAGGCCCGGCAGCTGCTTGGGGAAGGACACGCACACTTCAGGGGCACAAAGGAGCTTGCCATGCGTCTGACTTTCCAGCCCCGTGATTGATGTCGGCTGGGCGCCCCGTGCAGGGAGCTTGTTGTTGGAGTTGGGAGATGGTTTCTTTGTGGGAGGCGGGGGGGACAGTTTTAAAAAGGCAGCTCCTTATAGAACGTTACCACTCCTTAGGCTAGTGGAGACCAGTTGTGTGCATTTGTGTGTGCCCCTGCCCTGGAGAGAGGCACGGTGTGAGGAGCGTCCAGCGCGCTGGGGCAGGCGGTGTGGACCAAGGACCAGAGTAGGGATGGAGCCAGGCTCCAGTGGGTCAGCCAGATGACTGAGGAACTGCTCAGTGCCCAGACGCGGGGTGCCTGCACGTGGTTTCAGGGTGGATAGCACATGCGTGTGAGCTCAGCTCCAGTCTGCCCTCCTGGCGGGGGAGCCTGGAGGGCGGCCGAGAACAGGTGGTTCTGGGTTTCCTTCTCGCCAGGATTCTGCTTTGTAAATGTCTGCAGCTGTCTTGGAAGGGTTTGGGAGACACCCCGGTCTTCCTGCCGTCACCCCAGGTTCTTCCTCTGTGGGGTTCAGGCCACCCGAGGAGGGCGTTCCTCATTTCCATAGCCCTGGCTGTGCTCCCAGCATCCACACCAGGTGCCCGGGGGGCAGGGCCAGCTGCACAAAGATCAGGGCGTGAGCCTCCGGCACACGCAGCTCTGTCCTGCTGAAATGCAACAATGCCTTCCCCACCCCAGCCTGATCCAGCGCAGCTGTCCCTGAGGCCCTAGTAACTGTTGGTGCCTGGCCTCTGGGTCCTGCAGACGTGCGCTCGGATCCTGATTCTGTCACTCACCAGTCACCAGCTGGGTCCATCTTGGCAAGTGATATCCTCTTCCTGAGCCTCAGCTTCCTCCTCTGACACGGTGCCGGCACGTGGGCTGGGTGCCCTGCCCCGGCCAGGCCTCCTGTCCTCACGCCGCCCTCTGAAATGGTGATTGATAATCCTCTCTTCATAGAGAGGGAAACCGAGGCAAAGAAAGGTTGAAGAAAAGGTTAACAGCCGGTCTAGGGTGGCTGGAGTGACAGGGTTTGAACCCAGGCCAGCTCTAGAATCCATGCTCTCAACCCCTGTTCGCTGGGTGGGGATAGGGAGTGAGAGGGATGCCTGACCTTGCCCCTTGGGGTCCCCAGAGTGTCACCCCTTTTAAGGTAGTTGGTATCGGTCACAGATCTTTCTGCCATGCGTGCCCCACCTCAGGTGACAATGTTTTGTAACTGAAGCTGCCGGCTGGCCATTTAATACCTGTGGCGACAGGGAAGAGGCCACCAGCTATTTGCTGGTTGCCAGGGGGTGGACGCCCAAACGGACAGGGATTACAAGGACGGTCCGTGGGCCAGGGGACTGATGTCTCAGAATCTCGCTGCCTTTCCCGCACCAGGCCTGGATGAGATCCAGGCCTGGGCGAGGCTCTTGGGTGCGTTTCCCAGGAGAGGTGGCTGGCGGGGCCGCCTGGGTCAGCTGCCTTCTCCCAGTGCCTGCTGCCCGGCCGGGGAGTTGGGCTGTCAGCGTCCCTTTTGTCTTTGCAAACAATTGGGCTGGGGAGTGTGGCCGGGCCTGACTCAGCGGTCAGTTTTGTCAGCTCCGGACTGGCAGGGAAGCCAGGCCTGCTGTTGGCTGAGGGCGCTGTGGGAGCCGGAGCCTGGGCAGCTCGGTTTGTACACCGGTTAACCCCTCTCCTGCCTGGCTGGCTTTCCTGGTCCCCACTTCTGGGCAAGGCTTCTGGAATTCCTCCCCGGCTGGGCCACATGTCAGTGTGGGAAGAGTCACCACAGAAGTAGGTGGTTGGGATCTTTCAGGACCTGACTCTCCAACTGCATTTCCTTCATGTGCCCCATTTATGGAGCCGAGGCCAGGTGATGAGGGGCTTGATCAAGGCAGGAGAGCCGCCCTTTGCTGGCTGGCGGGACAGTCGGCAGGCTGCGGCAGGAGTGAAGGTCAGAGCAGTTGGAGAGCCTTGGCTCTGGCCTGGAAGGGGCCGCCTGGTGTCAGATGGTGTTTGTTCATGCTTGGGCCCGAGGCTATCAGGATCTGAGGCTGGGCCTGGGCCTGCCTGCTCTTGGAACCCCCCTTGGGTTCTTTTTGAAGGGCCAGCTGCTTCCCTGGGCACAGCCTACCGACCCCATTCTTACGAGGGCCATGCTCTGCGCCCCACACCTGCTTTCCGTGCTTCCTGCTCTGCCAGGCATGGGGCCAGGCCCTGGGGCCCAGATGACAAGATGGAGTCTTGGGGCAGCTGGGTGTCAGGTGTGCTGGAGCAAGGATCCTGGGGTCTGCCTGGGTTCGAGGCCAGGCCAGCCCTTTTTCTCTGGGCTCTTGGACAGTGGGAATGCCTCCCACTGAGAGAGCGAGCGCTCTGTGCTGAGCGGTCAATGAGGCCTGGCCCACGGGAAGGCCTGGGATTGTCCGTGATGAGTCGCACAGTGCCCCCTGACAGGGTGTCACTCTGGCCTCCAGTGCAGGCAGCAGAGGAGAAACTTGCCTAAGCTCTCTGTGTGGGTGTGGGGGCCGTGGTTCCTTCCATGAGGCCCAGCACCTCCCTCTGGCCAGCCTGGGACTGAACCCACGACCTTCTCCCAGGCATTGCTCACCCCTCCTGGCCTGTAGTGTCAGGGGCCCCGCATCTCTGTGTGGAGGTCCCCGCTGCCCCCATGGAGACCTGCAGCTGTGAATGTGCGTGTGCAGGGTCTGCACAGGCCGCCCCACCACCAGGACAGGAGAGGGGTCTGGCCTGGGCCGCACATACAGGGCTGTTTCCAGAATCGTTCATTCATTGAGTGCTTGCTGAACGCCTGCTGTATGCCAGGCCCTGTGCCCGGAACACTTAGAGTAAGAGACCCGGTCCCCGTCACGAGGTCACTGCCCAGTGGGGTCGCCAGACTCACAAAGCCAGCAGGGCACTCCGGGGGGGGGGGGCATGCGGGGGCCCGGGAGCGGCTGGGGGTGCAGCTGGGCAGGGCGTTCCCCGTGGGCGTGGCACAGCCCTGCTTGGGCTGTGTGTGTGTGAGTGTGTGAATGTGTGTGTGAGTGTGAGACTTACACAGCAGGACACGTCAAAACCTGGTGAAATCCTACCCGGCCGGGAGCCTGGTTAACAGTCACATGTGTGTTGGTTCCTGGCTTAGGTAACGAGCTGGGTTATAAGACATCGGGGGATCTCTCTGTACTATTTTTGCAACTCCTTGGGAGCCTTTCGCTATTTATAACATGACGTAAATAAAGCTGGGGGAGGGGAGGTGCCGGGCAGCGGGGAGTCGGTGCCTTGAGGGCACAGAAGGAAGTGAGATCAGAGCCAGAAGCTGAGGGCGCTGGAAGGAGGTCTGTGCCCTCTCCCTGCTGTGGGGCGTCACGTGGCTTGTTTTTACTTTCAGGGTGTCTGGGTGCCTGGCACTTCCTGTTTGTCACTCCCTGGAGTGAACGGGGGCGGGTGGCCCGTGCACACCTGCTGTTTGTGCCCGTCTGCTGCAACAGAAGCCAGCCTCCGCCAGCCTCTGCGGTTCTGGGGTTCCTCGGGGAGGAGCCCCTCGCCTGCCCCCCTGGCCCGGCAGGAGAGCCCTCCTCTGGCTGCAGAGCCTTGTCCACAAGCCCCAACCCAGGGGAGGCTAGACCACGGCCAGGCTGGTGCAGGCTCTAATGCCCTCATGGGGAGGGCCCAGGTGGGCCAGCCCCTTCCTGCCACCGCTGGGTGACGAGTCTGGAGGCCCATCTTGACGTCCTTGTCCTTGTGACTTGCCTGTTGAGCCTCAGTTTCCCCATCTGCCAAGTAGACGTGACAGGTGTTCCTCAGCGTGCTTGGGGCATCCAGTCATTTCCCCTCCACCACCCCCAGCCCCCCAACATGGTGCCAGAAGGAAGCCGTGCGATCAGCCAGCCAGTTCATTCAGCAGGTACGCACTGGCTCGGTGCCAGGCTGGGCCGGGTTCCCCGCTATGGTTCCAGAGCGTTCTGCAGCAGAGTGGTCCTGGGAAGGGGACAAACGGAAAAGGGGATAATTGTGTCTCTGCTGGCAGCAGGCTCTGTGGAGAGAGAGCCCCAGGCAGGGGAGGAAGTGGGAGGTAGTGTGCAGGGCCCAGCAGGTGGCCATGGGGCCCAGGGGAGCTTTGGGGTTTACTCTGAGTGCCAGGGAGGCCCTGAGCGGCGAGGGCCAGGTCAGTGTGCCTCTAATAACCTCTCTGGCGGCTGGGCAGCTGGGCAGCCGGCTGGATTGGAGGGGTCCATGTAACCAATCAGCTCGAGGCCATGGCGGCTGCTCTGCACAGGCTGGGGTGAGAAGGGGGCTTCTGAGTACATTTTAAGGGTGTGTCAGAGAAAGGGGAATCAGGGAAGATTCCAGAGCTTCTGGCCGGAGCAGATGGGTGGAAGGTCGGGTTGGTCTTGGCGGTGAGGGGAGGCCGGTGTGGGGTGACCTTTTGGGGGAATAACAGGTTCTGGTGGAGAGGCTGTGCCAGGGACTGGCGTGGTCCCAGCAAGGATACCTCCTCTGCTCGAGTCCCGCGCCCCCCTCCCATCTGCCTGTTGTCTGATGGCCCTGGAGAGCCGGTTCCCTGATGGCCCGGCAGGGCCTGAGGTCGCGTCTCCGGAGGCCCCGCCTCCAGTGCGTGAGCAGAAACCTCCAGAGAGCAGAAAAAGTGAAACCGACCCATTTGCCTTTTTTATTTTTACCTTGGGAGGTAGTTTTGCATTCAGAAATGGGCCTCCAGGCTGTGGCCGGAGCCTTCTCACTGTGAGTTTTGCTTTTTGAGTGGGCAGACGGGTCGTCTAGCCTGTGTCTGAGCGTGGTGAGGAGGCTGGTGCGTTCCGTCACTGGGCAGTCCCCCACAGGATCTCGTCTTGCCGTGGTGCTAGGGATTCTCGGCGGCCGGCTGAGAAGTGCAGATGTTGGCAGCACCCTGCTTCCACCACTGGATGCCGGAGGCACGCCACTGTGACTGCCGGAATGTCCCAGTGTGGCATGTCCCCTGAGGGCAGGCACTGTGAGAACCGCTGTCCCAGTGGAGGGTCTCGGTTCTCACAGCGAGCTCTGAGGCCACCCTCAGGACCCACTGCACAGACAGGAAAGCCCCTGACTGTCCCAGGCACAGCTGCGGGGCAGGTGGGGGCTGCCGGGCGGGCTCTGCGCCTCCTCGCCCCTCCCCTAGGCTAGCTGTGTGTTGTTGTGTCCTGGCCTCAGTGCAGCAGGACAGACCACCAGGAGCTGCCGCGGCTTGGGCAGGTGCTCACGGTACCCGGACCGCTCTCCCATCTGGGTGGACCCCAGAGTGGGTCTGGGCCCACTGCCCCAGCCTGCAGCCAGTCCTGTGGGCACAGGTACCGGGCGGCGGGCGGACGGACGGACGGGCGGGGGCAGACTGCTTGCTGTGCCCTGGCTGTGGGGCTGCACAGTCACTCAGGCCTCTGTGTCAGCCTCGGTTTCTCACGCTTGGAAGTGGGATAACAACAGCACCTTTTTCATGGCTGTGGGAAGCTATGGAAGTTGTCTTGGGTTTTCACACACTGAGTGGTGGGGCCGAGCACTGAGGGAAGCGGGTAAATACCTGCAGACAATATCCCCAAGGGACCAGAAGCAGGTCCCTTTCCTCCGCAACTTAACATTGTTCACCCGATGGTGTCTGAGTGCTGCCAGCAGGGCAGCTCCGATAGCTGGGCAGAGGAGGGAGCGGAAACCTGGTAGATGTGACAGCTGCCTGCCTGAGCCGGCCGGACCTTGAGGCAGGTGTGGCCGTGAACCTGTCATTGTAAAGCCCCAGGTGCTTGTGCTGTGGACAGTGTGAGGCCCAGTCTAGGCGGTGGTTCCTGAGGGTGGGTGCATGTTAGAGTCTCTGGGGCTGTCAGTTGCAGGGTCCTGGACCCACCCGTCCACCTGCAGCCCGTGAGGATCCGGGTTCTTAGCCAATCCCTGGGGAGTTGGGGTAGGGCCAGCCCTGCCGGTGCCGGGAGGAGTTCAGAGCTTCCGTAGCCTCACGTGAAGGAGTGTTCTGAGGTGGGGACTCCCGCGGTGGGTGGCACCACGCTGACGATGGCCAGGATGGCGGCTGGTGGGCACGCCCCGCGGCATGCTGTATCCTATGTCGTTTGCTCCTTCCCCGGAGGCCTATGCACCGCGGGGGCCCCTCATCTGCCTGGAGGGTGAGGGCCTGAGGGCTAGATGCTGGGGCAGAGCTCATCCTCAGCTGCTCACTGAGACTGGGGGCGGAGACGGCCCTGGAGCTCCAGCCCTGTGCAGTCACCCCTCCTCCTGGAGCTCCCCCTCCCTCCCGTCTGCTCAGCACCAGTCCTGGCCCAGAGCATAGCCGGGGCAGGTGAGAGCTGAGGTGGGATTCGAACCCAGCCTGGCTCTGTTCACGGCTCTTGTTCCCAGGGGGTGGGTAGCAGAGGCTTCTAATTGGGGGGAAGCTGGCAACGTGACCCGGAGCCAGGGATCTGGGAGCACCTGGGGCATAGAGCCAGGTGTGTCCCAGACTCTTCTCCCTCAGGTGTTTGTGCAGGGTCCGTGGGCCCCCAGCGCTGTCCTTCTCCCCAGCTCTGCCCACGCAGAGCCCAGCCAGCACTGGCCCCGGTGCTTTGCCCCTGCTCAGGGTGCCTCACCTATGAGCTCTTAGGTGTGGAAGCCCACCTAACCTCGCACCGCTCCTCTGAAGGCGTTAGCACCTTTACCAGGTGTGCAGCCATCACTGCTGTGATTGTAATCCAGCACTCCACGCAGCCCCAGGAGGCCCTGAGCACCGCCCCCCCCCACAGCCCCAGGGGATCCTGAGCACTCCCCCCCCTCTCCCCTCCTGCAGCCCCAGGAGGCCCTGAGCACTCCTCCCCGCACCCCCCACAGCCCCAGGAGGCCCTGAGCACTCCCCCCCTCCCCACAGCCCCAGGAGGCCCTGAGCACTCCCCCCCCTCCCCACAGCCCCAGGAGGCCCTGAGCATTCCCCCAGCCCACCCGCTCTGCCCTCTGGATTTGCTATTGTAGGTGTTTCCTGTTGATAGGATCGCACAGTGTGGGCCTGTTGTTCTGGCTGCTCTCCCTCAGCATGATGTCCTCGGGGCTTGTCCCACATTGTAGCACATTGTAGGGTCAGAAGTGCATTCCTTTTTGTGGCTGAATAATATTCCGCAGCTCGAGTCACCACAGCCTGCTTACCCTCCCCCACTCCAGTGCACGGGCGGATGTTTCTACCTCTGGCCTGTTGTGACTGGTGCTCTTTATTCCTGATGAGGAGTCTGGAATCTTGACTTCCTTGAAGTTACCTGACTATGGTAACTCAGCTCCATTTACAGAATGCCGTGTGAAGCTCGTGCTGCCATAAAAATGGTAGCCTCATGCGGTTCAGCCTCACCTGTCCTTCGCACATGTACAGATACACATTTGTTTTTGTAGCATAAGCAGCTTTACCATTAGCGTAGATCCCTCCCTTTTTCAGTAACAGCAGCTCTGTGCTGCTGCTCGGCTCTCCTGACGCAGAAGGGAGAGGCTGGGCCCAGTAGGGGCTCCTCGTTTTCCTGCCACGTGCTGTGTGGTCTGGGGGACATGGGCCTGCCTTGTCCGCTGGGCCTGATGCGTGGGCTTTTCTGGTTTTCATCAGTCCCGTGGTGCTGTTGTGCTGTGCGGGGCATCTGCCTTTACTGTGGAGTGAGGGCTTCTCTCGGTGCGGGGGAGCCTGCCAGGGGAGGGAGCATACGCCCTGGGGGGCTGCTTGCTGCCCAGATGCTCTCCAGGCCGCAGTCCCTGTTCCTGCCCCTGCCAGGTGCACGGAGCATACAAGGGAACATTTTCCTTTTCCTTTCAAAGCAGCTTCTCTTTGGAGCGGGGGCAGGGCAGGGATCCCGAGCCCACCTTATAGTGAAAGGAAGTTGGGGTCCCACCTCATCCCTGTGGTGGCCCCGTCCTGTGTAACTTGTGCTCGTAGAAGGAGGAGATGCCTACAGCAGCGCTGCCTACCCCACGAGGTCCCTGTGTCCAGTGAGCTGTGAGGCTCAGAGAGGCTTAGCCACTTACCCAGGGCAGCCCAGTGGCTGGTTGGCAGAGTAAGCACAGGCTGATACTGCCTTTCCTTGCCTCAGTTTCCTGCCTGTGACATACTGAGTTGATCCCTACCCTGGAGGGCCGGGTGTGCAGTGGTGGGACCAGCATGGCGGTTAACGGGGTCTGGGGGTCTCAGCCTCTCAGCTCTGTCGCCATGGGGCCTTGGGCCAGCTACTGAGCTCCATGTGTCTGTTGTAAAATGAGGTGCCAATGCGAAGGCCGACCTGAGGGCTGGATTTCATGGTCGCCACGGGTCCGGGTGCAGTGCCTGGCTGTTGGCTGCTCCTTCCCGAACCTCACCATCGTCATTGCTGCACGCTTTTCCGCCTGCGTTTCTGTATCGTCCACCCTGCACCGCTGGGCTGCTGGGAGCCAAGCCCGCAGTCCGTGAAAGGAATGAGCATCTCTGGGGGAGCTGTCACGGGGTGGGGAGGTAGACGTAGTAACTCGGCACACTGTAGGTGTCCTTTGGGGGGGCAGATGCTGGGGAGGTGAAAGGGAAGAATGAGACAGGAGGGGCTTCTTGGGCAGGCAGCCTGGGCAGTCACACGGTACCCATGCGCAGAAGGGCCTGAGCTGACCTCGATGCCTGTTGTCACCCTCCTAGGATTGCCAGTCACTTTCCAGCATGGTCCCCAATCATGTCGGTGGTCCTATGGGGTGCAGGGTGGGAGGGGTGCCTGGGAAAGGCCCACTGAAGGGGGCATGTTTACATCCAAACTTGGAGGAGGGAGGGTGGCAGGCACAGCCAGGGTCTGCACAGCTGGCGTGTTCCAGCCACAGAAGAACAGACTGGGGACAGGGACACAGCGGCTCCCAGCTCTCCGGGTCCCCCCTGGAGCCAGCGTGTTGCCTGCCCCTCAGCCCTTTCTGTTTGGCCCCACAGGCTGACCCCCCACTACATCTACCCTCAAGCCATCGTCCAGCCCAGCGTGGTGATCCCGGCCGCCCCCGTCCCATCGCTGTCCTCACCCTTCCTGGAGTACACGCCGGCCAGCCCAGCCTACACCCAGTTCCCCCCAGCCACATACGACCAGTACCCGTACGCCGCCTCGCCCGCCTCCGTGACCAGCTTTGTGGGCTACAGCTACCCGGCCGCTGTGCCCCCTGGCCTCTCGGCCTCAGCCCCCACGGGCGCCACCTTCGTGCAGTACCAGCCTCCGCAGCTGCAGCCCGACAGGATGCAATGAGGCCGCTGCCCCCTCGAGGCCCGTCACCCACGCACCCACCAGGCAAGTGGCCGGCCGAGCTCGGGGTGCACACCAGCACCTGTGCCTCTGGGGACCCCGTAGGACCCCCCACCTGCAGGACCCCCTGGATGGCCTGGAGACCGAATCCCTTTAAATCCAGGACCCCACACATTTCAAGGGAGGACTTGGAGAGAAAAGCGGGAGTGGGAGCTCTAGAAGATGCAGCCGGACTTCCCCGCACACACATCTGCCTTCTCCCTTCTCCCTTCACCTCCCTCCCTCCCTCACTCCCACCCGAGCTCCGGGCTGAGGTCTCCTTGCATCTGTGAGGCCTGCCCTCCACAGAGCCCGCCCCCCTTTGGGCTCTGCGGAAACTGTCCTGCTCAGAGATGCCTTACTTCAGGGAAACCTGAAGGAGCGACGTGAATTGACTATTGGTTGTCGCTCCGTCTGCACAAGCTGTGAACGCGGGAGGCCGTGTGCAGGGAGGCCACCCGTGGAACTCTCCTTTCCGGTCCCTCCCGCCAGACCCGGGGCTCAGTGCCGCGGCCCCCAGCTGGCTTCCCTGCCCTCTAAGCACTGCAGCCTCTTTTCTTACTGTCATTGTTTTGCTACTAAGAAGATTCAGAAGTTCAGTTTATTTTTTCAGTGGAGGCTCCTGCCCCCAGGGAACCAGAACCTGTTTTTGACTTTGAGACTCACTTTTGTCTGTGGCTCCGCCCGAGGAGAAGGACAGTATTTCTGTTTGAAAAGGTGTCTGTCATTGGAGCACCAGGAGTCCCTCGGAGGGTGGGCATCTCCGGGTCTCTCTCGGTAACAGTGAGTTGTCTCAGAAGCCTGTCTCCACCCCTGCTGCGCCTGCAGGGACAGAGGGAGGTGATGCTGGCTGAGCGCCCCCACCTCTCCTCAGTCCCTGTTGCACCCAGCCTGGCGGGGACCCGCCTGACGCCCTGCCTGCCTAGGGCTCCTCGGTGCAGAGGGAGGGAGTGACGGCTCCCGAGGCGGCAGGAGGGGGCGGTGAGGAGGGGCAGCCAGCCGAGGGGGTGGGGGGAGTGTGGACAGGTCAGGGGGCGCTGTGGGTATTCCTTCAGACCTACCTCAGGGAAGCGGGAGGCTCAGGGCTGACTGGCGCAGGCGGTGCTCCTGGTCCACAGTCACGTCCCAGGAAATACCGGTAGCTAATGTTATAATAATATTTTTATTAGAACGTTCTGATTATAAAAATAAAACTTGTTTTCTTTAAAGAAAAAGCTGGTCTGTCACAATTCTCCACAAGGTCGCCTTCCATTCTCTGATACAGTGGTCATGGGCAAGTCGGGGCCATGGGGGTGTCAGTCACACCTGGGCCCTCCTGGCTGGGACTTGAACCTGTTCACTGAGCGTCTCCTGAGCCGGCCTGCAGGCGTCCAGATTGATGGGATAAACACGGCCCCCCAATACCACCTGCCCTCAGATGCTTCCTCACGCAGCGGTCTGCCTGACACCCCAGGGGAGAGCAGAGGGTCCAGTGAAGGTGGGGTGCTCAGAGCAGGGCCCTGAGGGCAGGGGCTCAGTGTTGGGGTTGATGGCTCCAGCAGAACCCCTGGAATAGGGAGACAGCTCCCCAAGAGACCTGAGGAAGGAGTAAGGGCTGCCGAGAGGAAGCAGGTGGGTGCTGGCAGCCAGGTGGGGCACAAGGTCAGAGTTAGGAAGGCAGGTCTGGTCTGGGGCTGAGGAGCCCCAACCTGGGGATAGACCCAACATCTCCCAGAACTTGGCTGGAGCCCACTCAGCACTGGGAAAATCATAGGCCTCACAGAGGAGGGGTTACGGCTGGGGAGGATATTAATTCAGTCACTTTTTAATTGCTCGTTCATTCTAAGAAATGTGTGCTGGGTCACGTGCAGAGCACTGAGATTAGTCATACACAGTCTAGTGGGATAGACACAACAGACATGCAAATGGAGTAATTTCAAACACCAATCACACTGTGAAGGAAATGTCATAGGATGGTGGAGAATGACTGGATTCTAGGCAGAGGGAACAACAAGTGCAAAGGTCCTGGGGTAGGCTGAACTGGCCAAGGAGGCCAGGGTAGCTGGAGGAGGAGCAGTGAGGGGAAGAGGTAGATGAACTTTAGGAGGTGGTTGCTGGAGCTGGGGAGACAGCCGAGACCCAGGGGATGGTCTGCTATGAGCAGCTGGGAGGGATAGCAGTACACAGATGCTACTGGCAAACTCATTGCAGTGTGACTGGCTCTATCAGGGAAGTCCCCTGAACCTGGGGAACGGGGGAGGGGATGGCAGCTGGACTGCAGGAGGAGGGTTCCCAGTGATCTCCAGGAATGGTGTGGGCGCTCCTGGTAAGGAGGTCAGACTGAGCAGAGGCTCAGAGGTCCTGGGTATGACCTTCTTGGGGGCAGTCACTGTCCAGGCACCAGGCTTGTTCTCTGACCCTGCAGAGCAGGGCTGGGTCCCAAACATGCAATCTGACCCCGTCTCCCTCACCTTTCACACAGCGGCCAAGCCGGATTCAAGTCGCTCTGAATTCCCTCTCACTCTCACATCCACGTCTCCTCCAGCTCAGAGCCCTTTGTGGCTCCCCATTTGTGGGCCCTCAAAGGAAAAGCCAAAGTGGTTACTGTGGCCTATGAGGCCCTGGCCTTGTTGCCTCCTGCCCACACCTGGTACAACTCACCCCAGGGCCTTTGCACTTGCTGTTGACTCCTCTAGCTTTCACCAGCTGAACTCCATCCGCTCTCAGCCGAAAAGTTTCTTTGTTCCAGAAGCCTCCTCTGACCCTGTCTCAGTTGAGGCAACATAACTGTGTCCCCCTTTCATTTGTGTCCTCATCTGTCCCTGTCCCCCCTCACGTCATTGGCACACTGACTCCAGAAGGGTGGGGGTTTCTGCCTCGTTCCCCCAAATGTAGAGCCGTGCCAGGCCCAGCAGGGAAGCTGAGGCCTGCTAACATTCTGAACTTGGTTTAGCCGGTGGCCAGTGGGCATCAGAGATTTCTAGCGAAGGACGCAGTGGGAGTTTGGGGATCATCCATTCAGGTCAGAGTGTGCTCTGCAAACTCAGTGCATAGTCATAAACAGTCCAGTGGGATAAAAGCAGCTTTGACCCGGGAGAGATTGGAGCCTGGATTGGAGAGGGGGGACTGAGTGACCAGAGTCACTGCAGAGTCCACATGGCTCGGAGCACAGTTACTCCCGGAGAGGGGAGCAGCCACGCGGAACTGGACAACAGTCTGATCCCACCGACAGCGCCAGGACAACTCTCCGTGGTCAGTCAGCCCTTAGCGCTGAAGTGAGACAGGGTCACCCTCATCCAGGGAGGGGGTTCGTGGTGGACCTGGGACCTTCCCTGTACCAGGTCCAGGGCCCCCAGGGGGCTCCTGGGGCCTTTTCCAGGCACTTTGACTTGGAGATTTGTAAATCCCACTTCAGTGGTCCAGGGCCCCCAGCCTCTGCCTAGGAACTAGGATCAGGGTTCTCGTCTCGGGGTCAAGCCAGGTGAGATCCTGCCAGGCAGGGTTCCCTCTTCTTTACTGGGACCCTTGCCTGTCCCTCCTGCCTGTCCTCTCTCGCCAGCTGGGGCTCAGTTTGCAAACACTGGCAAGGGTCAGGGAGGTCCTCCTGGGGCTGCCGGCCCAGAAGAGACATTTGCTGCAGCTGATAAGGGTTTGGGGGCGGGGAAGGGGTTGCGGGTGCTGCCAGGGTTATCTGGAGGGCCATGCTCTGCCAACCCACTTCCTGTCGCTATCGGCCAGTGGCAGCCTCTGGGACATGCCGTGAGGCCTCAAAAACACATCCTCCTGGGGCCGGGGAGTGCGGAGCTGCCAGGAGCAGCTTCCGAAGTCTCTGGCCAGTGACACCGGAGGCAGCCACCTGTCGCTGCAACGGTCATGGCAGACTTCGACAGTGACCACCGGCTCTGGCCCAGCACTGACCAGGCAGGTGCTGTGCCAAGCCTTTTCCAGAGTTGGCCTCCGTTCTCCAAGAGGTGAACACTGTGTCCCCACCTCACAAATGGAGGATAGAGACCCCGAGGAATGAAGACACCGTTCCTGAGCCCCCGAGGGGAGGTGGCTTGCAGGGCCCAGAGGGAAAGCTGGCAGTAACTGAGGGGGGAGGTGAGGAAGACACCCTCATCCTGTGGACCCACCCAGGCCCACCTAAGGGCAAAGGACCCCTTGTTTCCAGTTGGTGAACACAATTACCACCACCCCTGCTTTGGTCATGAGAACGGACATTTATGGCGAGCTCTCTGTGGCTGTATGGCTGTTCTCCCCCGGAACGCCCCCAACCGATGTGGGACGTTGATGGCGTCCAGTTCACAGATGAAAAAATGGAGGCTGGGGAGATTCAGCCCCTTCCCGAGTCCAGAGAGCGGGAGTCAGAATGTGGACCGGAGCAACCCGAACGTGGAGGCCGCATGCCGCCCTGCTCAGGTTCAGCTCAGGGCTCCACCCCCACCCAGGGCTCCCCCACCTCCCTCACCCCAACACCAGCTCCCTCAGCTGCTGAGTCACCCTTGTGTTTGTCCCCCACAGACACGCACACCAACCCGGGAACCCCCTGGGTTGGGGACCGTCCAGATACAGTGAAAATAGCAAGGCAGCTGCTCAGCGTGCCCTGGGCTGGGCGTCTGCAAGGGTACGGCACAGGGTAGGCACCTGGCCTTCCAGATACTCCCCCGGGCCTCCTGCGGCAGCTGATAAGTGCCCTGCTCTGCTTATCAGCCCCGCTCTCTCGCCTGCTCTACCCCAAACCTGTGTACACACTGGGGTGCACTGCAGCTTGGAGAGCAAGGGGGGCGAACCCCCACAGCCTGCCCCTTCAGCTGAGCCAGATACACCAAAGGCAACTTGGAGCTCCTGGAGCCTTCTGCTGGCTCCCCCGTTTCCTGGCCCCTGGTGGGCATTTTTAGAGAAAATAAATATAAAGGTGGTTTTCCCCCCTAAATTATAAAATTAACATTGCTGGGGGGAAGTTTTCAAAATAAAGGGACTGTATT